TATACATCATTAAAAAATAATATGTTATTGTGCTTTTGGTTAATATTTATTATGCAACAAATTAGGATCCCATTGGACAATTTACACAATTTGTTCAGTGACATGAGTTACACTGTTCACAGTAAACCAAAGTTCTTCTCAGCTGTGTTCTGGTTGGTCCAAGTATTCTAGTTTCCCTGCCCTCCTATCTCTCATCTTTCCTTTAGTGGAAATGGTGACTTTTTAAAAAGTTCTTTATATATTCTTGACACGAGTTGTTGATCAGACATGACTAGCAAATGCTTTCTCCAAATCTGCAGCTACTCTTTTGAAGAACTTAAGTTTTTAATTTTGATAAAGTCCAACTGATCAATTTGTGCTTTATCTTAGAAACTTTTGCTTAACCCAATAACAAAGATTTTCTCCTGTGTTTTCCTGAAGTTTTATATTTTTAGATTCTGCATTTAGTTCTATGATCTATTTAAGGTTTTTATATGATGTGAGTATGGATGGAAATTCTTTTTGTATTTTTTTTTTCCAAATGGATATCCAGTTGTTTCAGTACTATTCGTGGAAAGGATTATCATTTTTCAAAGGAATTGCCTTCCCATCTTGCTGGAAATCAGTTGCCTATATGTATGGGTCGACTTCTTGACACTGTTCCATTGGTACATTTGTCTATTTCCACACCAATATCACACTGCCTTGACTAATACAGCTTTATAAAAAAATCTCCAAGTCAGGTAATGTTGGGCTTCCCACTTGCTTCTTTTAAAAATTGAGTGGTGATGTAAAGAAAACAAAATTCCTCACAACAGAACCAATAAAGAACATCGTGATAGAGACATGATTGAAATTGTCAAGGATGTCATTTTACCTGGCTCCACAACCAATGCAACAGTCAAGAAATCAAAAGATGTATTATACTGTGCAAATCTGCTGCAAAAGATCTTTCTGAAGTATTAAAGAGCAAAGAGGTCAGTTTGAGGACTAAGGGATGCCTGGCCCAAGCCATGGTATTTTCAATTGTCTTATATACTTGTGAATGCTGGACAATGAATAAGCAAGACCAGAGAAGAATTGATGCATTTGAATTATGGTTTTGGTGACGAATACTGAAGAATCATGGAGTGCTAGAAAGACAAACACATTTGTCTTAGATGAATACTACTTAAAAGTGAAGAAGGCAAAAGTTACCATGCTTGGTAAAGGA